CATAATATACATCCATGTAGAAATACACCTAATCTAAAATGAGATGAGTTTTAAGCATAGCTTACAAACCAGAGAAAAAGAATGTGAAATATCTCAACAATTTTAATTTTTTTTTCCTACAGACAGGGTCTCACTATGTTGCCCAGGCTGGTCTTGAACTCTTGGGCCCAAACAATCCTCCCACCTCAGCCTGCCAAAGTGCCGGGATTACAGGTGTGAGCCACTGAGCCTACCCTCAACAATTTTTAAATCTTGATTACACAATAAAATGACATTCTAGATATGAGTTAAAATATATTATTAAAATTTACTTTGTAGGCCGGGCGCGGTGGCTCGAGTCCGTAATCCCAGAATTTTGTGAGGCCGACCGAGGTGGGTAGATCATCTGAGGTCAAGAGTTCTTGGCCAGCCTGGCCAACATGGTGAAACCACGTCTCTACTAAAAATACAAAAAAATTAGCTGGGTGTGGTAGTGGGCACCTGTAATTCCAGCTACTTGAGAGGCTGAGGCAGGGAGAATTGCTTGAATCTGGGAGGCAGAGGTTGCAGTGAGCCGAGATCATGCCACTACACTCCAGCCCAGGCAACAGAATGATACTCCGTCTCAAAAAAATATTTTTTTTTACTTTTTAAAATGTGACCATCTGGCCAGGTACAGTGGCTCACACCTGTAATTCCAGGATTTTGGGAGGCCAAGACTCCATCTCAAAAAAAAAGAAGTGGCTATTAAAAGTAATACATGTGGCTCACATTATTTCTTTTGAACGGCACTGGTTAAATGCAATGGTAGACTTCTTTTTTTTTTTGAGACAGAGTCTCCCTCTGTTGCCCAGACTGAAATGCAGTGGCACTATCTCGGCTCACTGTAAGCTCCGCCTCCAGGGTTCACAAAATTCTCCTGCCTCAGCCTCCTGAGCAGCTGGGACTACAGGTGCCCACCACCACGCCAAGCTAATTTTTTGTATTTTTAGTAGAGACGGAGTTTCACCGTGTTAGCCAGGATGGTCGCGATCTCGTGACCTTGTGATCCGCTCACCTCGGCCTCCCAAAGTGCTAAGATTACAGGTGTAAGCCACAACACCCGGCCCAATGGTATTTTAAACCTGTGGACAGAGCTAACATATGAATGTGTTCAAGCTGTACTCAGAATCATTTATTTTCTCAACTTACACTATTCAACATCTTATATATGAAAACATTTTTATCTGAAAGTATGAAAATGTCAGAGTCTAGGCCGGGCGCGGTGGCTCACGTCTATAATCCCAGCACTTTGGGAGGTTAAGGCGGGTGGATCACCTGAGGTCAGGAGTTCAAGAACGGCCTGACCAAAACTACTTAATTTTTGCCTACTAAAACTACGTAATTGGCCAGGCGTGGTGGCGTGATCCTGTAATCCCAGCTACTCAGGAGGCTGAGGCAGGAGAATCGCTTGAACCTGGGAAGCAGAGGTTGCAGTGGGCAGAGACTGCGCCACTGCATGCCAGCCTGAGCAACAACAGCAAAACTCCATCTCAAAAAAAAAAAAAAAGAGGGCGGGCATGGTGGTTCCCACGTGTAATCTCAGCACTTTGGGAGGCTGAGGAGGGCAGACCACCTGAGGTCAGAAGTTTGAGACCAGCCTGGCCAACATGGTGAAACCTCGTCTCTACTAAAAATACAAAATTAGCCAGATGTGGTGGCATATGCCTATAATCCCAGCTACCTGGGAGGCTGAGGCAGAAGAATCACTTAAGCCAGGGAGGTGGAGGTTGCACTGAGCCAAGATCACACCATTGCACTCCAGCCTGGGCAAAAAAAAATGAAACTCCATCTCAAAAAAAAAAAAAAGAAAGAAATTGTTTAGCGGAGCACCAACAAATACTTGGGTACCACAGTGTGCAGGATGTTCAATCCATAAAATAACATCTTCTGCCACACCTCCACAGCAGAAGAGTCACATATTCTATATAGAGCTAATATAATATGCACTGTGCTCCTACAAAGTGCCTGGCCCTGGCACCATGTGAAGTGCTTTACTCTCACTAAACCATAAAATTCTCACAACTACCCTATGTGGTAGATTACTACGACTGACTTTTTTTTTTTTTTTCAGATGGAGTTTCACTCTTGTTGCCCAGGTTGGACTGCAATGGCGCAATCTCAGCTCACCACAACCTCCGCCTCCCGGGTTCAAGCGATTCTCCTGCCTCAGCCTCCCGAGTAGCTGGGATTACAAGCATGCGCCACCACTACCAGCTAATTTTTGTATTTTTAGTAGAGACGGGGTTTCTCCATGTTGATCAGGCTGGTCTCGAACTTCGGACCTCAGGCAATCTGCCTGCCTCGGCCTCCCAAAGTGCTGGGATTACAGGCGTGAGCCACCGTGCCCAGCCTTATTAACACTTTTAAAGAGCCTGAAGCCAGAGAGGTTAAGTAATCTGCCAAAGTTGCACAGCTAGTAGTAACCTGTGGAAACAAGATTCCAACCCAGCAGACTTGATCCAAAATCATCACACATCTTCCCAAGTAAAAGGAATACAAAAATATTATACCATTATCTTACAGGATTGAGTTTTAGTTGGGGGGCATGTACCCTTTACAAAAAGATTGGAGTAGAGACAGTTAATGTTTTGCTTCCTACTCTCCAACCACACTGTTCCTAAGGATAGGTTAAAGTTGACCACATAGCCAGGCGTGGTGGCTCAGCCTGTAATCTCAGCACTTTGGGAGGCTGAGGCGGTGGAGTGCTTGAGGTCCGGAGTTCAAGAGCAGCCTGACCAACATGGTGAAACCCAGTCTCTACTAAAAATACAGAAATTAGCCAGGCATGGTGGCAAGCACCTGTATCAGAGCTACCCAGGCAGCTGAGGCAGAACTGCTTGAACCCCTGAGGCGGAGGTTGCAATGAGCCGAGATCACACCACTGCACTCCAGCCTGGGTGACAGAGTGAGGTTCAGTCTCAAAATAAATAAATAAATAAATAAAGTTGACCACATGAATTAAATCCTCAATCTTACTATACATTTGTTCTATGCTCCCTTTTCCAGAAAGGCCCTATCCCACCCCTCTGACTCAATTCCTATTAGTCCTCCAGACTTCATTTATTATTATTTTTTTGAGACTAAGTCTCGTTTTGTTGCCCAGGCTGGAGTGCAGGGGCACAATCTCAGCTCACTGTAACCTACGCCTCCCAGGTTCAAGCCATTCTCCTGCCTCAGCCTCCTGAGTAGCTGGGACTACAGGCACCTGCCACTATGCCCGGCTAATTTTTGTATTTTTAGTAAAAATGGGGTTTCACGATATTGACCAAGCTGATGTTGAACTTCCGACCTTGTGATCCGCCCGCCAAGGCCTCCTAAAGTGCTGGGATTACAGGTGTGAGCCACAGCGCCGGCCCAGACTTCATTTTAGGTATCATCACTATGTAAGTCTACTCAAACTCCTCACGATTTAGACTAGGCACTCTTCCTCCCTATGCTTACTACTGTAGCATCTTACTGGAATGCTCCTCAAGGGGTCTGTTGTGTTCATTTATTCTCAGTGCCTAAGAACAGTGCCCAGCATTAGATGCTCAATAAATATTTGCTGACCCATCTGATCACCTAACCCCAGCCAGCTACAGCTAAAAGTGGAGTGTTAAAAGCAAACTTAGTGCTAGGGAAGTGCTAGCGCTAAGTGCTAGTATTCTCTAACCCACAAGTTAGAGAACAAGCCCTAAGTTTCATGAAATTTATGACAAACCAAAAAAACAGTATGATACTCTGGAAATAAGGATTATGATAATTTGCCTCCCAAAAAAGGTGAGCAAAATAAAAATCTATTTAAAAAATGACTTGTCCAATTTAATTTCTGTAAAATTTATTTTGTGAGAATGAAGCAGCTGATATTTGTCACAAAAGAAAACCCAAACCAAATATTTCAGTAATGCTATATAAATTGCTTCAAATCAGCTTAATTTTGACAATTCCCAGAGTTCAAAGACGACTGCAGTTGCTTTTTAAAATCGTCTCAATATAAAATTACATTTAAACATGGGTTCAACTGCACGGCCACAATGCTGAGAGCCATGTGTCTTTTAAGAAAAGTATTGGGGAGCGGATGGGTTTCACAATTAATAAAGCACAATTAGCGTCAGCGCCACTTAAATTTTCTACCCAGATTCAAAAGGGACTTTCCTAGAGCTTTCCCTTTTCCTTTCCTAAACGGGAAATTCGATTAAAAAGGTCACTCTTCAGCTCTTACTGCCACACTAAGTAATTCTGAAACACGGTGAAAGTGCATTGTAAGTCCATAGGGCTATGACTGGCAAAATACTTTCCTGTAAATACTAGAGTCAAATAAAATAGAAGAGAGAACTTGACTTCACTCCGTTGGGTTTGAGGACAGAAACTGATCATCTTCCTCAGATTACTGCTTCTGTTGATGTCTCGAAAAGCGCTGAGGCAAATATGCCAGAGTCCCGCCCCAAGCGCGAAGAGCCTCCGATTGTTTGACACATCAATGGATTAGTCAATGAGGGCAACTCACTTTTCCCTTCTAATTTACCTTAATTATCCTTCTCAGAAACCCTCAAGTTTACTCTAAGTTATGACCATAAGGAATCTTCTCTTTGCCCCAAAGTATAAATTCAGGCCTTTCCCAAATAGCTAGTACTGCTTCAATCGCAACCACTGAAATAAATACTTTAAAAATATCACACATCTAGTAATTCCATGCAAATGTGGAAAAAGCCAGTCCAGTCGCCTGAACAAATAAGGTTCTGGAACACGGTTAAATGGTGCATATTTTGTAACAGAAGGCACTGAGCATAGTGGGAGACTCGAAAGCAAAAGACCGGATGGAAATCATGGGAAGACCCCGCCCCAGTAAGCTCGATGCCGATTCAAACAGTAACTTGGATCTGTCGTTTGGAATCGGAATCACTGAAACAAAGGCGTATATTACGGGAAGCAAGATGTCTGGAGTAAAATAAACGGTTTGCAGCTACCGAGACTTTACACCGTCCTCCCACAGGTCTTACCTATGGTGGAAATAAAGGTAGTATTGAAGGCATCATCCGAAAAACGAAAAAGGACGCAGGTCTTCCCCACTCCCGAATCCCCGATCAGGAGCAGCTTGAAAAGCAGGTCGTACGTCTTCTTCGCCATTGGGAGGAGCGGCTCGGGCTCTCGCCGCCGGCGGCCCCAAGGGATCGGTCCCTCTCACTACGGCCAACTCCTCACTCGGGCGTTCTCAGGCCGGAGGACCGGGGAAGCGTGGGAAAAAGGAAGGCTCGAGAGGGCGCGGGCGACCTACGAACAGCTTCGGGGAAGCCCCGACAGTGGCGGCGTCCAGTGCCTCCGAGGGCGGCGACCGCGGCTCCGCAGCCTCTCCCAGCCGCTCCGCCCGGTTCCGGGGAGTCGGTCGGGACAAAATGGCCTCCCCTCCCCCCTCAGGGCTTCTCGGCCGGGACGCTCCCACGGGCGAGCAAGCCTGCTCTGCCGTCGAGGAGGCGCGGCGGGCGTGAGGACAGTCTCTCTCGCGAGCAGAAACTCCGCGCTAGCACGCGGCGAGGGCAGCGAAGAAAGACCCCCAAGTCGACGAGCTCAGTTACATAGCCCCAGGAAACCGAGCCGCCCCGGCCAGAGCCACCTTTTCCCCGTGCCCTCTCACGCCGGCGTGCGCGCTGCCTGAGACGCACGCAAGGACGTACGCCCGCCCTTCCCTCACGCCCTAGCCCTGCGGTTCGCGTCTGCGCACGCGCACAAGAGGGCACGGGGCGCGCCGAAGTGGAGAGTGGAATGCTCGGGTATCCAAGCCTCAGTCTGAGGCTGGACCCAGAGGGGAGAAGGGAGGGGCGAGAGAGGGCGAGGCCGCGGGCGCGCTCCCTGTAGCCGCCTGATAGGGTGCGCGGCGTTACGAGCA